AAATACTGTCATAGCAAGTGAGTAGCAGCATTACTGCTACTATTGATAAAATTCAATATATTTTCTTTCGAAAAGGAAGAGAAAGGAAAATGTTTATAGCAAAAAAATTCAAAAGAGGCAGAAAACATGCCTTGCACATGCACATCGATTATAATCCAGGTTAAATTACAGAGGCATTCAGTGACTTGTTCCTTAAATGATTAACTTTTCTCTCTTTTTCAAAGCATTCTTTATTTACACTATTATGTTTTTTTTTTTTTGGCAAAAAAATAATTGTATGCTTATGAATGAAATCTAAACGTCCGTGATTCCAGTGGAAATTATTTCAAATTAATTACTGGAATCGCCTTCTGTCTCTCTCTCTCTCGCTCTCGCTTTTTGTGTGAACATAATATCGGAGATGTGGTTAGGGCGTTTGACTCGTAGCAATATCAATCTATTGGATCGTCAAGGATGAAATTTGTATATAAGAGATTATGTGCAATATTATATAGTTAGTAGTACTTGCTTCAAATTTCATCTTGATGATGGCCCAAAGTGCAATGTCATATATAGTAGGCATTTAATCTCTTATGTGCAAATTTCATACTTGACGACCTAATAGTAGTAATGTGAGTTTTCAATATTTTCCTTTATTTCAGCATCTCTTCGCGCATTCGGCCATTAATGCCATCAGAAATACTGTCTTGGAATTCTGAATAATTGATGTAACGATAATAAATTTGTACAAAGAAAATTGCTTTACTTCGGACGTAGGTAAAACTATTTTCAGACATTTTAAATTTTAGCTAAACAGATATCGTCTACACTGATATATAATTAAAACAATTTTAAAAATATACTTTGGACATTTTATGGTATATAATAGAATTTGCTAGTAATCTTACCGTCAGGATATAATTGAAGCAACTTTTAATTCACTTTCAAGATAAAAAAACATAAATCTACTTTACTTACAATTCTAATATGATTGTAATTTTTTTTTGAGATGCTTCTTCTGTTTCAATACGAAAAAAGTAAATTTACATCAATTTATTTTCACATTGCTATTTACAGTGATGCGCGTTAGTGTGTAAATGCATGTTGAATATGTTGTCTTCACGTTAGCTGGGTGTGTATGGGTGAATGGCAATATGTTTGAAGGCGTGTGTGTGTGTGTGTGTGTGTGTATGTGCGTTTGTTAAGTGTGAGATATTCTAAGAGTTTACATAAGAAAAACGCAAGAAGTCTAATTAGAAAGTTCCACAAAAACTTACTACAGGATATAAACTTATTCTGCAGTTGCTGCTCCTGTTTTTATTACATAATTTTCGTTTTCGTCTCTTTTACATTTTTCTTCTGCTTTTTTTTTTTTCGTTTGCGCTTATGTAAGTGTTTATACCAATTTATGCTAAAAATATCAAAAAAAAAAAAAATAAGACAAGTCAAACTCAAAACTAACTGCAAATTTGTGACTGCCTGTCTGTTTGTCTGCTTGTCTTATGTCTGTCCGGTTTGTCATTGTCTTCTTCTAAAACTATTCAAGAATTTAGTTTTTGATTTTATTTTTCAGTCATTAATTTTGTACATTTTTTTTTCTTTTTTTTTCCCTAGCCTTGTTCTAGTTTTTTTTTTTTTTTCCTAAGGCAGGCAGGCTCTTTACACTAATAAAATGCCATATAATACAATTACAACTAATATTGCTGTATATTATTTGAATTTTAGCATATATGTAGGATCAGTGTATGTAAATAAATATGCATGTATGTGAAAAAAAGGGCAAAGCAATTGACAACATGTAAACAAATATATTTATTTGTTATATTTTCTGTTGTTTTTTGTTTTTTGGTCTTATTTTTGATAACACCCTAACCGAAAATATGTATTAAATACAGTGAAACGCCTTATCTGTAAACAGCATAAAAAATATAGCAAAAGTAAACTTTATAAAGGACTTTACACGCTATATAAGAGTCTATAGAAAATTCTTGCGGTATTAGATTGAAATGATTTTTTAAAACTTTTTAGTAATTGCACTGAAAACGGGGAAAGAAGGTGGTTCCGCCTGAGCGGCCGAACAGGCAAAGGATCTCAACTAACAACTCAATGGTCGTGGGTTTTGAATTTCAATTACGTTACTTTTACAAGCGTTTTCAATAAAATCGATAGCCGACTATTTTCTACTAGACCACTACGAAGATATGATCGATGTGCTCTTCTAAGCGTTTGTCAAAGAATTGAAACTTGGTGGAGTAGATTCTGTTAGATCCTTTGCTTAATTGAGTTTTTGAAGTTTTTTGCGACTTTTGCCTTTGGAGCCTGAAATGTGCGAAATATATATTAATACACACATATATATATAATTTTTACTTTTCCTTCAAGAGTAATCCATTCGTTCCAATGCATCTCTAGCATTTCTTTGGCCTTCTTATAGAACGATTTATCGAAATACGCTACAGTTTCAGCTATCACTACTTCATTGGAGCCATTTCTCTTTCTTCTTGGTGTCTTTTTTCTCTCTCCTTCTCGCTGTGAGTTAATTCTGGAAAGTACGATATATGTGAAAGCAATTTTTTGTCTTCGATTTGTAGCATGGTTTTTTCTTCTTCACTTGAGCGCTTTTTTTTGCAATTCCATCATTCAAAAGCACTAATAGTGCCATGTCCCTTTTCAAGATAGGTGATGAATTGTCTTACGTGTCGAAAGTTTGGACGCCGTAACCTTCTTAGCAGACGTCCAAAGTTAGCAAAGGGGATACCCATTTTGGGGTAGTCGCTTTTTCATGGGGATATGTTCATGCAAATACTCTGCCTTCTAATATGGTTATGAGAGTCAGCCATCTCATGCGACATCACTTTTTAGTTTCCCAGAATGATTTTGTGAACTTTTTTATATTTTTGGCAACAATGGCCGAATTTGTGGCGACCATCGCGTTTAATCATTCGTGTTTGTGTGGTCGCGTTTAAAATCAATAAACTATATCTCTTGCATTCGACGGAGCAGCATCAGTTTGTGTGATTCTCCGCCAAAAAGCGAGGTTCATCAGGTTTTGCTTTCGTCTTGTGAACTATAAAACTGGTGTCACTAAAAGAATTGTAACTTGTAAGGTTATACTTGGAATGTCATGCAATTTTGAGTATCTAAAAACCGTATGCATTAGTCATATATCTATATATTACCCTACGAACTTCTTGAGCGGTATATTATAATAAGACAAGTGAATCTTATGATCGTTTGAAGGTTGGTGTGAGTTACGATGAACAATCTAAAGAACAGAACCTAATAGCAGCAGTTTGGTGTTCTGATCGGTCACTGGCCATAAAAGTGTCTTATCATAGTTTTTATGACTTTATATCTTTTTGAGATTCCTGCTCGATAGTCAAAGCACCATTTTCTAAAAGAAATTTCATTCAAAAGCAAGATTGTTAAGTCACAAAAATCACACCGAAGTGCCTTGTGACTTATGATGGCCCTGTGCTATTGCTCCAAAATCGGGCCGATGCCAGCCATTTAGAGACAGGTTTCTGGAATTTGATCTTATATCATCGCTAGACTTGTACGCATTATTTGAAGTTGCTTTTCGGTTTCTTTACTTGCTTCTGTTATAGAACGCGGTCAAGGATTTTTTGCAGGGATTCATATTCTCATTTTACTTTGAAAAATATAAGAAAAATGGCTTCACTGTAAATGAAAAAAAAACCACCAAATATATGAATAAACTACAATTCAATCTAAAACACAACATAATAACAACAAAAACAACAGCCACATAACAACTAAAA